GCGCCCCAGCAGGGGCTCTGAAGTTTCCCCTATGGGGCGCCGCGCCTAGCAGTGCGCCCCAGCAGATCCTCTGAGCTCCAAGGGCTGGCGCCCCGCGCCTTGCAGAGCGCCAAGGACGCCAAGTTTTTCCCATTCCTTCCCCACTTTCTCATGCATGTTCCTAGGTATTATACCTATGTTTCATAGTTGTTTCCGACACTCCAAAGTACGTCTAAACATCAAGAATCCCTCCATAACATGTGATCAAACACCTTGAATTCATAATTTCAATTCAAGTGAAGTTAGTACAGATTAAACATGACTTTAATAGCATCACCACCACGAACACTTGTTTCAAAAGCTTCTTCAACTTCTTTTTGAGAGAATCCAAACCTGTGTGTGATCAAAGGTTTCACATCAATCTTTCCACTTCTAAAGAACTCAAGACACAATGGCCATGTATTCTTGTAGCGAAATATGCCGATGACGTCGACCTCCCTGAACACATTTTCCCCAGAAAATTAGTGTGAGAGTAACAAAAGTTTAATCGGGAAATACTCAGTATACTCCCATAAGTGGAGTCTGGAGAGGGTAGGGTGTACGCTGGGCTTACCTCTACCTTTGTAGAGTAGTAAGGTTGTTTCCGATATATCCCCGACTTCGTCTCGAAAAACGATCAATATGAGCAATACCAACTAGAAAATATAGAGAATTTCTAGTGCTTTCTGCTATTATTATTTTTGCTATTCTGTATAATTTCGGTCTACGACGAACTAAAATAGAGAGATATGATCAATGAGGATTCAGATAGTCGACTCTAACTTAGAAGGTTTCATATCTAACTTTCCACTTCTCAAGAACTCGAGATATACGAGGCAGTGCATTCTAAGTAAAGATATAAGCCGATGACATCGGTCTCCCTGAGCACAATTTGCCCGAAAATTAATATAATGGCAAAAAGGATACAGAAACATGCGAACCGTAAGCTTATCGTTAGTGAAGAGTAGCAAAAGATTTAGTCGGGAAAAGATCTATATAAGCCTTTGTTACTCGGACTCTCAACAAAATAGTCGTATTCGTGCCGGATCCTTAAAAATGCACTATTATGGAGGATCTGATACACACTTGGTGACATTTTTGAAGAGTCCGAGTATCATAAAGTTAGGTATAAGCAATGCTAGTAAGTTGGGAATATATTTTAATCATGCAAGTAAGTTTACTTTGGATCCTATGTTTTCTAGTAGTCTATTAGTCTGGTTTGAGATTTATATGCCAGCAAAAAACATAAAGGACTTCTAGTACTACTTATTTTTTATTTTGTATAACATTGGTATACGACAAACTTAAACAAAGCTACTTGTCATTTTATAAAATTTATACATAAATTACCATGTTTTGTCTATTATACCCCTGATAGAATAGTTAATTAATCTTGTCTAAAGTTACATCATTTTTTAATGCAAATGCAAAGTAAAAATGTGACATATAAAATGGGATGAAGGGAGTATTATTATAGCTTCATTACTCTAAAGGGGCGCTAGTGCTTAACTAATAAGATCTCAAAGGAGCTTGAAAAAACGTAAGAGACTGCTATTCTAGGTTTGCTTCGCTTCTTCAATCTCCGCCCCTTTTTTCAAAAATCAACAAACAACATTAATGAAATCTAAAAAAGCTGTTTAATCTCATTCTTTAGAATTGTCTTTCTTATATTGTGTAAACGAACTTCAATTCTAAATTGTGTACTATACTCAACAGGAAGCGTCACAACCACCCTCAATATCGATCAGTATTAGTTTGTGATCGTTATTATCATTATAGCTTCATTATTATTATTATTATTATTATTAGTAGTAGTAGTAGTAGTAGTATTGAGAATTATTATTACTATTACTATTACTTTGAGTCATGTTTCAACTATATGACGATATTTTCTTTCAACAATACTATTTTGTTTATGCCCATAATTTTAAAGATTTTTTAGCACTAATGCCCATACATCAGAATAAATCACACTAAATAGTATTGTCAATAGTAAATTATGAAACACTTAAATAAGTTCTTGGTTAATTAGTCTTAAGTATAAAATGTCACTATTGTTTTGTAACATGTAATGAGAAGTAGGTAAAATGGAATCACCAATGATGGGACAAATAGCTTAGTTTTATATTAACGGAATTCATATCTCGATCAAAAGATTAAATTATTTAGCAACTTTTTCTGTTGTTTCTCTTTGTCCGCTATTTTTTTTTCAAATTAATCTTATGCGAAAAACATTAACCTCAACGATTTAAAATAAAATTTACGAGGAAAGAAAATATAAGTCATAATTTTATTCAACAGAGGATAAAACGAAGCATATTATTGCTACTAATGACTTGAATATGCTAAATTTTATTCTAAAAAGAAAAAAATTAAAAATTATTACTCATTAAATCCAATGTTTGTACTCGAACGACTTCATTGAACGAAATTTGTTTAATTTTTTAGAAATTGAAATTTATAAAAAGGTAGATCAATTTTATTATTCTATTCATTTTATTTTACATAAAGAAATTTGAGTAAATTAAATAAAATCCGCACTGATTAGCATATTCAAGTGCGGATTCAAGTCATCAACAACAATTATATGCTTAACTTTATCCTCCATTGAATAAAATTAGGACTTATATCTTCTTCCCTCATTAATTTTACTTTGAATCGTTGACGTTATTGTTCTTTTCAAAAGAATAGTTTGAAGAAAAAAGACCGGGGATAGAGAAACAACTTTAAAATGGGTTAAAGATTTAATTTTACGAAGATATCGGTTAATATATAAACCTAAGCTATTTGTATTTAAAAAATGGACAAAGAACAAACCTGATAAGTTTTAAAATATTTAAAGGACTAAAATCGGTAAGTTTATAGTTAATGGGCTAAAACCGGTAATTGTATAGTTAAGGGACCAAAACTAATAAGTTTTTTAATAGTTAAAAGACTAAATTCATTAAGTATATAGTTAAGAGACCATTTTAGACCTACTCCTATAATTAAGGGACTATTTATGTCATTTTCTCTACAACTCTTGAGAAAATATTAATTAAAAAAGTAATTTGATTAAATTATCTTTATTTATTATCTGGTCTCAATTTGATGCTACATTCTTTTTTACCATATTAATTGTCTTCATGTTTTATTGAGTAAAGAAGAAAGTGAAAAGCAATAATCAATTATATTTTAATTTTAAAAAGTTATAATTATTTTGAACCACTTATATTTTTTAAGCACGATAATATTTCGAGCATCAATTATTAAGCAAAAAAAATCTTTGCATAGATTTAGATCCACATGTTGTGTTTAGGTAGATATAGTTACAGATCATAAAGATATTTTTTTTTTCTTGTAATATTTTGCATGTGACATATTTTAATTTGAATTTATGTTAAAAAAAATTTTGGCTATGTTCTTAAAGGCCAAGAATAAATTTGGTGGATTTCTAGAGGATGATTTTTGGAATTGGGACCAGTTAGAAAAATGACATAGTTAGTATTAAACGTTTATTTCATTCTATGGTTGGTAGCATCGAAAATTCTATGATATTAATGTATTATGCCTAATCTTTTTATGAAACACGTAACTATTTAATATCAGTTTCAACACTTCTATCTCGCACACCTAGAGGTGTTTGTCAACATTTGATGTTTTAATCAGCTAATTCAAACAGACTTTAAATGTGTAGATAAGCTACAAATAATGTTTATAAGCTTATTTGACCGATTTATAAGCTTAGTCAAACACATTTTAAAGTCTTTTAATGAAAGAAATTTTGGTTTGTTATTGAAGTCACAAGTGGAATTCAATAATTGGATAGTCAATACTTTTACACTTATTATATGATTGATGGTTTTGAATTTAAGACCCAAAATCTTGAATGACAACCTAGGAATTTTCAATCTACAAGGAGCTTAATTAATAGAAAAATATCATGGCCATCCACTTGTTTTATTAAGACAATTGTTTAGTAAACGATTCTCTTTTTATTTCTCTGGCAACTTCTGTACTTTTAGGCCATGATTTAAAGATTTTTTATGAGCAAATTGAGAATTTTATGTGAGATAAACGTTAGACGATAATATAATATTTTATCTATAATATTAAAAAAAAAATATTTAAGGAAAAATTAAACTCGAGAAATTTGACTTTATTGACATTTCAACTGAGTTCGGCAATAGCCTTGAAAAGACATATTATTCGAACTTTGTAGTAAAAAAATTCAGATAATGGGAAAGAATAGTGTACAGAATTTTTTTACTTGTGGATAGAAACATATAGATTAAAATAATTTGGATTTCCAAGTTACATCTAGAACCATCAAATAAAGTTAATTAATGTCACATTTTTTTAAAAAGAATTTTTTTTTTTTGGTCTTGGTCCATTGAAACTAGCTAATAAGCTATAGCCATCTATGGCTTTATGTATCTATTTTTTATTGGTCTAACTATCTGACTGAGATACATACATTGGTCTAACTAATTTGGATTTGTACCACATAGGATGTATTTGAAGGAGAAGTGTTCTATATTAAGAGTTTTTTCCCTGAACTCGAGATCTCTAGTAAAAGATGGAGAGGTCTTACTAAAATGCCTAAAAATTATTGCCTCCGGACTTTGGTTCAACGAGAGATATGTGGTTCAAACTATGTCACCAACATGACAAGTGGTATTTAAGTGGGAGCAGGATAGAGAAACGGACCATATTCCCCCTCCCCTCCCGTGAAAAAAATAATAATTCAAACTTGTGGGCCCACTGGGGTTGAGGCAACTAACCAATGGGAGATTTCTCGGTTACAACAACAACAACAACAACAAAAATATACCCCACGTACCCCATTGGGGTTCGGAAAAAGTGATGTGTATGCAGGCTTATCCCTACCTTGTGATGGTAGAGAGACTGTTCCCAGGAGATTTCTTCGTTATTTAAAACAAAATGCCCCAAAAACTGTTTGTTAATGTCTCAATTACAATTTCATCACTAGTAAATGCAGATGGAAATGTGAAGAGCTGCACCCGATGACATTTTTGAAGAGTCTGAGCAATACAGATCATTAGTACTATTAAAGTGAACTCAACATTAAAGAAAGTAATACAACTAGACCACTCAAAAGTACTATACAGAGGAGGAAATCGCGCGTAAATGAGGCATATGATGTTAAATAGTTGTGCTAAAATTACATGAACATGGTGGAATTGTCACTTCAACAGATCCTTCAAGCATTTGACAGACCTTCCTCATAGTAGGCCTCGTTAACGGATCCTCCTGAACGCACCAAATACCAACCATCACGAACCTCTCGAGCTGCTTCTTGTCATTCAAGGCCTCGATATCACTTCTCACCAAAGCTTCCAAGTTTCCTTGTTGAAAACAATCAACAACCCAATCCACAAGAATCGCCTCCAGTCCATAGCTTTCCTCATTCTCCAAACATTTCCGGCATGTGATGATCTCTAGTAGTAGTATACCAAAGCTGTAAACGTCCACCTTAACCGTGACTGGACTATGTCTGAACCACTCCGGAGCAACATAACCTCTTGTTCCTCTAATATTAGTATCCGTTCGACTCTGATTGATCATCAACAGCTTAGACACTCCAAAATCTGATATTCGAGCAACGTGATAGTCATCAAGGAGAATGTTCTGAGGCTTTATGTCACAATGGATAATCTGTGTACTGCACTCTTCGTGGAGGTATGCAAGTCCCCTTGCAATCCCCATCGCGATACTTGTCCTCTGACTCCAAGTAGGTTTCAGATCACCAAAAATGAAACTTGCAAGAGTGCCATTACTCATATACTCGTAAACCAACAAACGATGAGGTCCCTCGTTACAATATCCAATCAGGCGGACCAAATTCTTGTGATGAGTCTGACTAATCACATTTACTTCAGTCATGAAATCTTTCTCTGCCTCATGAGCGACTCTATCCAGCTTCTTTATAGCGACTACGTTTCTTGAACCGATAGACATTACACCTTTGTAAACAATCCCAAATGCACCCCTGCCTAGCTCTTCGTTGAACTCTTTCGTGGCTACTACAAGATCTTTATACGTAAAACTATGACAGACAGTGTCCGTCACGTGACTTGTAGGGCAAAATACGTTCACTTTCTTTTTATAAATGTGGAAGAATCCCCAACATAATACACCAATGAGAAGAACATTTACCATAATGGAGCTACCTAAGAGCGAGGACGCCAAAATTGCCAAAATCCGCCAACTCTGCTTTTGATGAGATTCCGGAATTGGAAAGCCAGGACTTGGAGGACTTAGAGGCCTTAGAACACCATCTTTTCTCAATTTGATAAAAGCTTTGGCGTTCAAACTGGTGTCTATTCTCCCGTTCGACAAGGGCAGTTTCTTTTTCCAGCAACTATTGCTTCTATAAATGGCAACAGCACAAAAGCAATCATTCAAACAAGCATTTTGGCAGTCTTGTTCAGTAGAAGGGCTAATTTTCTGAAAATCTGATTTCGGCCAATCAGTATTACGAATCGTGATAAAACTGTATAAATCATCAGGTGAACCCCTCCCAACTTCATCACAACTTATAGAAAAATCTGGTTTGCAGTCACCATAAGCATCGTTCGGATCAACCAACGAATATCCTTTAGGACAGTTACAAACTGGTCTGTTGTTTGAACCAAGACTGCATACATTGTTGTAACCACAAGAACCAGGTCCGTTGTCTCCATCAATTTTGATGCATATATTATCCGGTTGAGACCACAGAATATTCCAGCCACTGCTATTCAAAATCCTTGAATGATAATAATGACTAAGAACTCCATCAAAGTTAAGTGTCACACGATGATAATTGTCCGAACCTAAATGATTGGATCGCGGAGTAAGAATTTGTGTTTCATTGTTTCGCTTCAATACATACAGCATGCCATTCTCTTCGAACACCAACTTATCCCCAGAATTGATTGCATTTGTTGGATCAGAAGTTTGAGTGTTATAGTACTCATCATCATAATCCATATTCGAAGGCACACTTTGTGTAACAAGCACCAAATTTCCATTATCAAGCATCCGAAGATAAAATCTACCTGTCGAGACATAATATAATTAAATCATAATCTCAGCTCTAACAGTTGACATCTATGTGTTAAGACATAACAATAACAACTACGCTTCAATTCCAAACAATTCGAAGTCAGCTGTATGAATCTTAACTAACCATGTTTCTCCATATAGAGGCATAACACATAAACTGGTCATTTCACTCAACTTCAACTGACATCTATTCCCTCTAACTTTGAGTGTGCACAAGTCAACACTTAAACTCGTATAAAATTGAACAAATAGACACATTCGTCCTACCTGGTGTCTTGCATGGCAATTGTGTGTCCTACGTGACATCCTAGAAAGCATAGGACCTAACGAAAAATGCACTTCCATGACTAGAGCTAGTCAATTATTGATAAATCCTCATAATCTACTATTATTTCTTCCTCAACCATTAACTTCTTCTTCTTCTTTAAAAAAAGGATTCCAACAACAAAACGGCTTCCACAACTCCAAAAAAAGAAAAAAGAATTCATATATCATGTTAGAGACATAACATGATCAAACAATCATATGAGTTGGTTACGCAATTCAACGCATACCTTGAGTGAAACATAACCTAATCGAACAATCAAATGAGTTGGTCACACAACTCAACGCGTACGTACCTTGAGTGATCTTAGTTTGTTTCTCCATATATAGGCATAACACATAAACATGTCATTTAACTCGACTTCAACGGACATCTATAGCCTCTAACTTTGACTGTGCACAAGTCGACACTAAACTCGTATCAAATTAAACAAATAGACACATCCGTCATATGTGACGTCCTACATGGCAATTGTGTGTCCGTCCTAGAAAGCCAGGACCTAAAGAAAAAATGCACTACCATGACTAGAACTAGTCAATTATTCATGAATCCTCATAATCTACTTCAAAAAAATGATTCCAACAACAAAACGGCTTCCACAACGCAAAAATAAAAGAAGAGAATACATATATCATGTTAGAAACATAACATAACAAAACAATCAGATGAGTTGGTCACACAGTTGAACGCGTACGTACCTTGAGTGAACTTATTTTGCGACTTTTGAGAAACAAGGAAGCTTCCTCTTTCCAATGTTTGATTTGGCAACAAAGTATTAGTTGGATTTCTAAAACTTTCCCATAATGGATCACTAGAATCACTTCCCATTACAACAAAATTCCCATTATCATTCATCAATCCATAATCAATATTACCAATGAAAACCAAATCACTTGTCCAAAGAGTATTCCCTTGAGGATCACTAAGTATTAAACCACTTTGAGAATCAAGATTCAATCTTGATCCTTGTGGCACTAAATCACTTATATTAGCATACCAAACTATAGTTTTTTCTTGAATTTTTGCGTACCATATACAAAGCAAGAACTCATTTTTATTTTCTTCAATTTTTTTGAAACCAAATGCAAAATCACCAGATGGTGAAAGCCATGGGGTACTTTCATTTGTTGCACTAATAGAACTACTAGTAGATATTCTACCATCATTTTGAGCTAAATTGTGTGATGGAAAGAAAAAAAGAAGAAATATTACAAGAAAAAAAGAAATATAATCAGACATTGCAAGAGAAAATATGATTTGTTTGAACAAATCAAGAACATAAAATTAATTTGTGTTTTGTTAATTTGTGGTGTGAGTTTTAGGATGAACTATATATGAAAACTTCAGAGTCAACTTCTATTAAATAAAAAAAATGGTCCCTTATATTTAGGTGTTGGTTTAAAGTAGACCCTTAGCTATATTTTTTATTAGTTTAGTCCTTTAAGTTTGACAAAAATGAGCATTCTTAGTTAAAGAGATTCTTTTTTTAGGTTCCGATGGAGGAGAAAAAAAAGAGGAAAGTCAGATCTAGTAAGGAAGTGTCGCGGCGGCTCTACTCCTCTGTGATGCGGTTTCAGAAGAAAAAAAAACTTTTTGGATAGCCCTCCTTTCATGTCAAGCGTTTCACACGGCCAAAAAAGCATCAATTTTTAATCTGATCATTATGACTTGATCATTCGAAAGTTAGTGTGTCAATTAGCTAGAGTCAACAAATCAATAATGTAAAATTGAACGGTGTGTAGGCGTTTTGACCATGCTCCTTGGTAAAGTGGAAAAAAAATTATTTTTGTTTTCAAAGTGAGAAAGGAGATTAACTAAAAGTGTTTATTTTTATTAAATTTAAATTACTTTATTAACTTAAGTCGAAAAAGTAGATGTTGACTTTGATTTTGAAATTACTATTTTTACTTTGAAAACAAAAATAATTTTAATACATAAATATGTCCTTTAATTTGGTCTCATTTCACATTTATGCCCTTCAACTTTTAATGAGCACAAACATACACTTAAACTTGTATAAGATTAAACAAGTAGACACATGAGTCTTCTGTGGTATAATACACTTAGGATACCATGTAGGACACAAATTACCATGTATGATGTCACGTAGGACGTGTGTGCCTATTTGTTCAACTTTATACGAATTTAAGTGTGTACTTGTGTATCCTAAAGTTGAAGGGCATAAATGTGAAATAAAGCCAAGTTAAAAGACATATTTATATATTATGTTTTTTTCTATTTTCCTAATGAAACATGGACAAATGCCTAATTGTGTTTGGTCATGAAATAAATTAGAGTTGTTTTTAAATTTTTATGAGTAATTTGGATTGAAAACAACTTTTTGTCATTTTGAATTTTAAAAAAAAAAAAAAAAACAATTTTCTGTTGTTTTAGAAATTCTGGTAAAAAAAATATTAAAGTGAAAGAAGAAATTTTCGTAAGTTTATGCCCAAATATATTCGAAGTTGAACCCCAAAAAAAGAAAAAAAATGTTTAAACACTAATAACTTGATATTTCCATGGTAGAAAAAAAAAACGCACATGTTCTCAAATGTTCATTACGTAAATAAGTTAACCATCTACTTTATTTGACCATTCTCAACATTTTCAACTAATACATAGTAGTTTTCAAAAGCATAAAACATCTTTTTATGATGTACATTTTTTAGACATTTGGTAAAAACTTATTTTCTCAAATTTAAAAAGTTTATTTTTACAGATTAAACATGACTTTAATAGCATCACCACCACGAGCACTTGTTTCAAAAGCTTCTTCAACTTCTTTTTGAGAGAATCCAAACCTGTGTGTGATCATAGGTTTCACATCAATCTTTCCACTTCTTAAGAACTCAAGACACAATGGCCATGTATTCTTGTAGCGAAATATGCCGATGATGTCGACCTCCCTGAACACATTTTGCCCAGAAAATTAGTGTGAGAGTAACAAAAGTTTAATCGGGAAAACAATCAACAACAACAACATACTCAGTATACTCCCATAAGTGGAGTCTGGAGAGGGTAGGGTGTACGCTGGGCTTACCACTACCTTTGTAGAGTAGTAAGGTTGTTTCCGATAGAGCCCAGACTCCGTCTCGAAAAACGATCAATATGAGCAATACCAACTAGAAAATATAGAGAATTTCTAGTGCTTTCTGTTATTATTATTTTTGCTATTCTGTATAATTTCGATCTACGACGAACTAAAATAGAGAGACATGATCAATGAGGATTCAGATAGTCGACTCTAACTTAGAAGGTTTCGTATCTAACTTTCCACTTCTCAAGAACTCGAGATATACAAGGCCATGCATTCTAAGTAAAGATATAAGCCAGTGACATTGGCCTCCGCCTCCCTGAGCACAATTTGCCCGAAAATTAATATAATGGCAAAAAGGATACAGAAACATGCAAACTGTAAGCTTATTGTTAGTGAAGAGTAACAACAGATTTAGTCAGGAAAAGATCTATATAAGCCTTTGTTACTCAGACTCTCACCAAAATAGTCGCATTCGTGCCGGATCCTTAAAAATGCACTATTATGGAGGATCTGATACACACTTGGTGACATTTTTGAAGAGTCCGAGTATCATAGGTATAAGCAATACCAATTAGTTGGGAATATATTTTATAATCATGCTAGTATGTTAACTTTAGATCCTATGATTTTTAGTAGTCTATTAGTCTTGTTTGAGATTTATATGCCAGTAAAAAAACATAAAGGACTTCTAGTACTACTTATTTTTTATTTCGTATACTATTTGGTATACGACGAACTCAAACAAAGCGAGATGATCTGTGAGGATTCATATAGCCAAATTCAACTCAAGTAAGATTGATGCATAGTTGTACCTTGCAGCAGCTGGAGTGAGAGGAACGGTCATCTCATGATGTCCCATTCCCACCAAGCAAACTTTGCCACCTGGACGAGTTGCACCAAGGGCGGTCGACATAGTTTTGTTAAAGCCAGCACAGTCAAAACTCACATCAATTCCACCTCCCATCGCTTTCTGAATGTTTTCTATATCTGTAGCTACATCCTGTTCAAAAGTATCAGTCAGGGAAATGGAAAGAAAACCGGCAACATCTTCAACTTTGATGTTTTTATATTCACGGGCGAATTTCACGTAATGGTCACTGAACTTTACTCACTATAATATTAAAGTCACGATACTATCTTGTCACAGAAATTTACCGCTATAATGGTTAAGTCACTAATTATATTAGTGTTATAGTCGGTAAAGTTCAGTTGATTAAGTTATTTTAATGAGACAAAATAGTTTTGTGACTTTATTGTTACAACGGACAAAGTTAGTGATCATACATGAAAGCAACTCATGTATTCAGTCTCGAGAGTGCACATGAAACATGGGAGATTAACAGCGATAACTTTGAAATTTGGATCCTCACCTGAAGATTGATTGAAACCTTGACGATCTCATCTGCTCCTAACTTCTTTGCAACTGAAAGACGATAGTCATCTACGTCCACAATAACAATTCTTGGGGCACCAAAAGCACGAGCAGCGAGAAGTGTGACAAGCCCGATTGGTCCAGCTCCCAGCACTAAAATGTTTGTCTCAGGACCAACATTTGCACGCCGACAAGCATGAACACCAACACTAAGTGGCTCACACATTGCTCCCTCCTCTAAACTTATATTATCCGGGAGCTTGAAACATAGATCAGCAGGATGGACTACCTGTTGGTGATCGAAAAGACACCAGTGTTTTAGCTTTTAGCAAGGTCAAAAATTATTATCACTCGATAAGCCCTGCATGCTGCACAATGCCTCTGTTCGTAATTTTGTGTGACCTTGTTCAATAAGCCTATGGAAAATTCGAGTACACTAACGAGTATATTCGGAGGGACAAACCAGCTCAATATCAATTCTATCATTCATGCAATCGACGAAAGTCCAAAAGGTACAAGATTTTAAAACTACTGACATATATTCCATCTTAATTAACCAGCGAAGGATGCATGTCGCATGGCATATGCCACGAGTGACTACATGAAATCAATGTAGACAAAATGTCAAATCGTGAGAAAATTAATAGAAGTGGGTAAGCTTTTTACCTGATTTGCGAGAGAACCATGAACAGGGGGAGTAGCGAAGAACTTCATCTCGGGGCAGAGATTATATCGCCCTTCTTTGCAAAGATCACATCTCCAGCAACTAATTCCTGGCTCTAGCGCTACACGATCTCCAGGAACCAATGTCTTGACTTCACCGCCAACTTCCTCTATGATCCCAGCACATTCATGCCCAATCACCATTGGCTCTTTAACCACAAAATCCGCACACCTCATGGTCTGAAGTTCAAAATAGACTCTAGTTCATTACGTACTCCAAATTACACCAAAAATTCAATAAATGAACACACATCAAATTTCAGACACAAATTTGTGGTTGCTTTGCTCTCAAAACATCTGTAGTTTCTCTCTAACCAAACCACCCAGAGTATGAGCATTGGCATTGTCCTCAACAACGCTTCAAGGCTCCAAGATACATTTTTGTTTGACTAGAATCAATGTACGATGTAGCCCAAGAAAATGTAACAGAACTTCACCATGTTACAATACACTTCATTTTGCTTTGCAAACAGCTAAGTTACTGGGACTACTCATAAATGTGGTTGGATTCATGTCGTATCCCCCAAAAAAACCAACACGAGTGCAACAACATTTTTGGAGAGTCCGAGCAACATAGCAAACATGTATATGATGATATAGGTATGGACATTTCACATTAACCTTTCAAAACCCAATAAAAACATTCTAAAAAAGATTGATGGTGATCATACCAATACCAGAAGCAAAATAGTGTTCGGATCCATATAACATATTTTTTTACATTTGAACAATGGAAGTCCCATCAAGCTAGTTTCTTCATTCCTTTTACACGTTTTGCTAGGTATACACCACAATCATATGCCATCATTGTAGAGTCAATGCAAACATAACCATAATATAAACCACACCACACCCACCAACCCTAAATCCCAACAAGAATTATTGACCATGAAGACAAGCTATCAAAATAGAGAATCAGAAGAAAGCTTTTACCTTGAGGTAATGAACATCACTTCCACAAATACCGACAGCCTTCATCCTAACTCTAACATCATGGGGTCCTATGAAGTAACAAATGTTAGTCCCTGTGTTCTTATCCAGAATAATTAAAACCAGAATCCATATGTAAACAGTAATGCTTAAACAGAAACAAAACCAGTAACATTTAAACCAAAGTTTATTC